GTTACATATGATGTTTATTTTAAAATATTTGATACAAAAACAAGCCCGATTCTATTGTATGGATCAGAAATTTGGGGCCTAGAACATTTGGATGTTATTGAGAAAATACATTTATATGCATGTAAACGGTTCTTGGGGGTAAAATCTAGCACAGAAAACGCAAGGGTATATGGTGAATGCGGACGGTTTCCCATGTATATCAATAGTTATTTAAAGGTTATTAAATACTGGGTCAAGCTATTAAATATGCCATCTTCAAGATACCCGAAAAAATTGTATAATATGATGCTTCTCTACGACAGCCATGGGAAACAAAACTGGGCATCAAAAGTTAAAAACATGTTATACGAATGTGGATATGGTTATATTTGGTTACAGCAACATATAGATATGCCATAGATATGCCACATCATTTCTTCTCCCGTTTGACACAGACTTTAAAAGATATGTACATTAAAAAATGGCATTGTTCTTTGTCAAGTTCTAGAAAAGCAAAATACTACACTACATTTAAGACTACTATTACACTAGAACCTTATCTATTAAGTGTAAATTTACATAAGTTTAGAACAGCTCTTTCTCGATTCCGTTGTCGCTCACATGATCTATTTATTGAAACAGGCAGATATGAAGGTATTGCAAGAGAACACAGACTTTGTAGGATTTGTAAAACTGATTGTACTGAAGATGAATATCACTTTTTATGTGTATGTCCAGTGTATGAAGATTTAAGAGCAAAATATCTAAATAACTATTTCTACGGCAACCCAAACGGTAACAAATTTTGTAAATTTATGACTTGTGATTGTACAGAAACTATTAGAAATCTATCAATGTTCATTTATCATGCCATGAAACTAAGAAAATGTATGAATTTGTAACACGCCCCACACATTGTACTATAGGCCTTTCGCCTCATAAGTACCACGAATAAAGATTGATTGATGGTCAACACCTTCTGTCTAACATATATATCTTCCTGATGGTCCACCCCTTCTGTCTAACATATATATGTTCCTGATGGTCCACCCCTTCTCTCTAACATATATATGTTCCTGATCGTCCAACCCTTCTGTCTAACATGTAGCTGGTCCTGATCGTCCATCCCTTCTGTCTAACATATATATGTTCCTGATCGTCCACCCCTTCTGTGTAACATATATATATGTTCCTGATTGTCCACCCCTTCTGTCTAACATATATATGTTCCTGATGGTCCACGCCTTCTGTCTAACATGTATATGTCCCTGATTGTCAATCCCTTCTCTCTAACATATATATGTTCCTGATTGTCAACCCCTTCTGTCTAACATGTAGCTGGTCCTGAGCGTCCATTCCTTTTGTCTAACATTTATATGTTCCTGATGGTCCAACCCTTCTGTGTAACATGTGGCTGGTCCTGATTGTGTACCCCTTCTGTCTAAAATGTATATGTTCCTGATCGTCCACCCCTTCTGTGTAACATGTACCTGGTCCTGATGGTCCACCTCTTCTGTCTAACATGTGGCTGGTCCTGATCGTCCGCCCCTTTTGTGTAACATGTAGCTGGTCCTGATTGTCCACCCCTTCTGCCTAACATGTGGCTGGTCCTGTTCGTCCACCCCTTCTGTCTTAGATATATATGGTCCTGATTGTCCGTCCCTTCTGTGTAACATGTAGCTGGTCCTGATTGTCCGTCCCTTCTGTGTAACATGAAGGTGGTCCTGATGGTCCACCCCTTCTGTCTAACATGTAGCTGGTCCTGATCGTCCACACCTTCTGTCTAACATATATATATGTTCCTGATCGTCCACCCCTTCTCTCTTACATATATATGTTCCTGATCGTCCATCCCTTCTGTCTAACATATATATATATGTTCCTGATGGTCCACCCCTTCTCCCTAACATATATATGTTCCTGATCGTCCACCCCTTCTGTCTAACATGTAGCTGGTCCTGATCGTCCCTCTCTTCTGTCTAACATGTAGCTCGTCCTGATCGTCCATCCCTTCTGTCTAAGATATATATGTTCATGACCGTCCGCCCCTTCTGTGTAACATGTAGCTACTCCTGATGGTCCACCCCTTCTGTGTTATCTGTAGCTGGTCCTGATCGTCCACCCATTCCGTCTAACATGTAGCTGGTCCTGATCATGATGGTCCACCCCTTCTGCCTAAGATATATATGTTCCTGATCGCCGACCCTTTCTGACTTACATGTACTTGTTCCTGATCGTCCAACCATTCTGCTGAACATTTACTAGTGACTGATGGTCTACCCCTTCTGTCTAACATATATATGTTCCTGATGGTCCACCCCTTCTGTCTCACATATATATGTTCCTGATGGTCTACCCTTTCTGTCTAACATATATATGTTCCTAATGGTCCACCCCTTCTGTCTAACATATACATCTTCCTGATCGTCCACCCCTTCTGTCTAACATATATATGTTCCTGATCGTCCATCTCTTTTGTCTAACATATATAGGTTCCTAATTGTCCATCCCTTCTGTCTGAGATATAGCTGGTCCTGATGGTCCATCCCTTCTGTCTAACATATATATGTTCCTGATCGTCCACCCCTTCTGTCTAACATGAATATGTTCCTGATGGTCCACCCCTTCGCTCTAACATATATATGTTCCTGATCGTCCACCCCTTCTGTCTAACATGTAGCTGGTCCTGATCGTCCATCCCTTCTGTCTAACATATATATGTTCCTGATCGTCCATCCCTTCTGTCTAACATAAATATGTTCCTGATGGTCCGCCCCTTCTGTCTAACATGTAGCTGGACCTTATGGTCCATCCCTTCTGTCTAACATGGATATGTTCCTGATGGCCCACCCCTTTTTCTAACCTATATATGTTCCTGACCGTCCACCCCTTCTGTCTAACATGTAGCTGGTCCTGATCGTCCCTCTCTTCTGTCTAACATGTAGCTCGTCCTGATCGTCCATCCCTTCTGTCTAAGATATATATGTTCATGACCGTCCGCCCCTTCTGTGTAACATGTAGCTACTCCTGATGGTCCACCCCTTCTGTGTTATATGTAGCTGGTCCTGATCGTCCACCCATTCCGTCTAACATGTAGCTGGTCCTGATCATGATGGTCCACCCCTTCTGCCTAAGATATATATGTTCCTGATCGCCGACCCTTTCTGACTTACATGTACTTGTTCCTGATCGTCCAACCATTCTGCTGAACATTTACTAGTGACTGATGGTCTACCCCTTCTGTCTAACATATATATGTTCCTGATGGTCCACCCCTTCTGTCTCACATATATATGTTCCTGATGGTCTACCCTTTCTGTCTAACATATATATGTTCCTAATGGTCCACCCCTTCTGTCTAACATATACATCTTCCTGATCGTCCACCCCTTCTGTCTAACATATATATGTTCCTGATCGTCCATCTCTTTTGTCTAACATATATAGGTTCCTAATTGTCCATCCCTTCTGTCTGAGATATAGCTGGTCCTGATGGTCCATCCCTTCTGTCTAACATATATATGTTCCTGATCGTCCACCCCTTCTGTCTAACATGAATATGTTCCTGATGGTCCACCCCTTCGCTCTAACATATATATGTTCCTGATCGTCCACCCCTTCTGTCTAACATGTAGCTGGTCCTGATCGTCCATCCCTTCTGTCTAACATATATATGTTCCTGATCGTCCATCCCTTCTGTCTAACATAAATATGTTCCTGATGGTCCGCCCCTTCTGTCTAACATGTAGCTGGACCTTATGGTCCATCCCTTCTGTCTAACATGGATATGTTCCTGATGGCCCACCCCTTTTTCTAACCTATATATGTTCCTGACCGTCCACCCCTTCTGTCTAACATGTAGCTGGTCCTGATCGTCCCTCTCTTCTGTCTAACATGTAGCTCGTCCTGATCGTCCATCCCTTCTGTCTAAGATATATATGTTCATGACCGTCCGCCCCTTCTGTGTAACATGTAGCTACTCCTGATGGTCCACCCCTTCTGTGTTATATGTAGCTGGTCCTGATCGTCCACCCATTCCGTCTAACATGTAGCTGGTCCTGATCATGATGGTCCACCCCTTCTGCCTAAGATATATATGTTCCTGATCGCCGACCCTTTCTGACTTACATGTACTTGTTCCTGATCGTCCAACCATTCTGCTGAACATTTACTAGTGACTGATGGTCTACCCCTTCTGTCTAACATATATATGTTCCTGATGGTCCACCCCTTCTGTCTCACATATATATGTTCCTGATGGTCTACCCTTTCTGTCTAACATATATATGTTCCTAATGGTCCACCCCTTCTGTCTAACATATACATCTTCCTGATCGTCCACCCCTTCTGTCTAACATATATATGTTCCTGATCGTCCATCTCTTTTGTCTAACATATATAGGTTCCTAATTGTCCATCCCTTCTGTCTGAGATATAGCTGGTCCTGATGGTCCATCCCTTCTGTCTAACATATATATGTTCCTGATCGTCCACCCCTTCTGTCTAACATGAATATGTTCCTGATGGTCCACCCCTTCGCTCTAACATATATATGTTCCTGATCGTCCACCCCTTCTGTCTAACATGTAGCTGGTCCTGATCGTCCATCCCTTCTGTCTAACATATATATGTTCCTGATCGTCCATCCCTTCTGTCTAACATAAATATGTTCCTGATGGTCCGCCCCTTCTGTCTAACATGTAGCTGGACCTTATGGTCCATCCCTTCTGTCTAACATGGATATGTTCCTGATGGCCCACCCCTTTTTCTAACCTATATATGTTCCTGACCGTCCACCCCTTCTGTCTAACATGTATATGTTCCTGATGGTCCACCCCTTCTGTCTAACCTATATATGTTCCTGAATGTCCACCCCTTCTGTTCCTGATCCTCCACCCCTTCTGTCTAACATGTAGCTGGTCCTGATCGTCCATCCCTTCTGTCTAACATGTAGTTGGTCCTGATCTTCCATCCGATCCGTGCAACATGTATGATAATTAACATCATACGTTATGTTACAGATCCGCCCGTAGGCCTCTGATATACGCTATCCTCGCCGGGTCGATGTTAATAGCTCTCGGTCTAGCATTTGGTCTTGGCTACGGTCTAAGGGCACGTCAGCCGGCGGTTGCATCAGCAGAGATGACGACAGCGGCTCCGCCATCGGCACAAGAAGAGAAATCTAAAACAGGAAGTTTCAGATTTGCCTCTGTCGCCTCTGATACTATGCGCTGCTCCGAAGTTGGAACGTAAGTCCCTGGGTGTATCATCACCATACGTACACGTCCCATAGTGTATGATCACGTTACGTAAACGTCCAAGAGTGTATCACCACCATACGTACACGTCCCAGAGTGTATCACCATACGTACACGTCCTATAGTGTATCATCACCATACGTACACGTCCTAGAGTGCATCATCATCATACGTACACGCCCAAGAGTGTATCGCCACCATACGTACACGTCCCAGAGTGTATCATCACCATACGTACACGTCCTACAGTGTATCACCACCATACGTACACGTCCTACAGTATATCATCACCATACGCACACGTCCCAGAGTGTATCACCATACGTACACGTCCTACAGTGTATCGTCACCATACGCACACGTCCCAAAGTGTATCACCATACGTACACGTCCCAGAGTGTATCACCACCATACGAACATGTCCTAGAGAGTATCCTCGCCATACGTACACTTGTCAGAGTGTGTCACCATATGTATACGTCCAGGAGCGTATCATCACCATACGCATACGTCCTACAGTGTATCACCACTATAAGTACATGTCGAAGAGTGTATCATCACCATACGTACACGTCCCAGGGTGTGTCATCACCAAACGTACACATCCCAGAGTGTATCACCATACGTACACTTCCCAGAGTGTATCACCATACGTACACGTCCAAGAGTGTATCATCACCATACGTACATGTCCTAGAGTGTATCACCACTATACGTACATGTCCTAGAGCGTATAGTCACCACTATACGTACATGTCCTAGAGCGTATAGTCACCATACGTACACGTCCAAGAGTGTACCGTCACAATGCGTACATGTCCCAGAGTGTATCGTCACAATACATACATGTCCCAGGGTGTATCGTCATCATACGTACACGTCCTACATTGTATCATCACCATACACACATGTCCGAGAGTGTATCACCACCATACGTACACGTCCCAGAGTGTATCGTCACAATACGTACATTTCCAAGTGTGTATCACTTTCCAACGTACACATCCGAGAGTGGATCACCATACGTACACGTCCCAGAGTGTATCATGATACGTACACGTCCCAGAGTGTATCATCACCATATGCACATGTCCAAGAGTAAATCGTCACAATACGTACATGTCCAAGAGTGTATCATCGCCATACGTACATGTCCCATAGTTTTCCGCCACAATACGTACATGTCCCAGAGAATATCGTCAAAATACGTACACGTCCCAGAGTTTTTCGTCACCATACGTACATGTCCAAGAGTGTATCGTCATCATACGTACATGTCCCAGAGCGTACCGTCACAATACGTACATGTCCCAGAGTGTATCGTCACCATACGTACACGTCCCAGAATGTATCATCGTACGCACATGTCCCAGAGTGTATCAACATACGTACACGTGCTAGAGTATATCATCACCATACGTACACGTCCCGCAGTGTATCACCATACGTACACGTCCTACAGTGTATCACCACCTTACGTACATGTCCTAGAGCGTATCCTCTTGTTACGTACACGTCCAAGAGTGTACCGTCACAATGCGTACATGTCCCAGAGTGTATCGTCACAATACATACATGTCCCAGGGTGTATCGTCATCATACGTACACGTCCTACATTGTATCATCACCATACACACATGTCCGAGAGTGTATCACCACCATACGTACACGTCCCAGAGTGTATCGTCGCAATACATACACTTCCAAGTGTGTATCACTTTCCAACGTACACATCCGAGAGTGTATCACCATACGTACACGTCCCAGAGTGTATTATGATACGAACACGTCCCAGAGTGTATCATCGCCATACGTACATGTCCCAGAGTATATCGTCACAATATGTACACGTCCCAGAGTGTATCACCATACGTACACCTCCCAGAGAGTATCCTCACCACACGTACACGTCCAAGAGTGTATCCTCGGCATACGTACACGTCCAAGAGAGTATCCTCACCATACGTACACGTTCTAGAGCGTATCACCATATGTACACGTCCCAGAGTGTTTCACCATACGTACACGTCCTAGAGTGTATCGTCACCATACGTACACGTCCTAGAGCGTATAATCACCGTACGTACATGTCCCAGAGTGTATCATCATGGTACAATCGCGTGCCATAGTGTAGCACCATACGTACACGTCCTAGTGTGTATCATCACTATACGTACACGTCCCAGAGTGTATCATCACCATACGTACATGTACCAGAGTATATCGTCACAATACGTACACGTCCCAGAGTGTATCACCATACGTACACCTCCCAGAGTGTATCATCACCATACGTACATGTCCTAGAGTGTATCACCACTATAAATACATGTCCTAGAGCGTATAGTCACCACTATACGTACATGTCCTAGAGCGTATAGTCACCATACTTACACGTCCAAGAGTTTACCGTCACAATGCGTACATGTCCCAGAGTGTATTGTCACTATACATACATGTCCCAGGGTGTATCGTCATCATACGTACACGTCCTACATTGTATCATCACCATACACACATGTCCGAGAGTGTATCACCACCATACGTACACGTCCCAGAGTGTATCGTCACAATACGTACACTTCCAAGTGTGTATCACTTTCCAAAGTACACATCCGAGAGTGTTTCACCATACGTACACGTCCTAGAGTGTATCGTCACCATACGTACACGTCCTAGAGCGTATAATCACCGTACGTACATGTCTCAGAGTGTATCATCATGGTACAGTCGCGTCCCATAGTGTATCACCATACGTACACGTCCTAGTGTGTATCATCACTATACGTACACGTCCCAGAGTGTATCATCACCATACGTACATGTCCCAGAGTATATCGTCACAATACGTACACGTCCCAGAGTGTATCACCATACGTACACCACCCAGAGTGTATCATCACCATACGTACATGTCCTAGAGTGTATCATCACTATAAATACATGTCCTAGAGCGTATAGTCACCACTATACGTACATGTCCTAGAGCGTATAGTCACCATACGTACACGTCCAAGAGTGTACCGTCACAATGCGTACATGTCCCAGAGTGTATCGTCACTATACATACATGTCCCAGGGTGTATCGTCATCATACGTACACGTCCTACATTGTATCATCACCATACACACATGTCCGAGAGTGTATCACCACCATACGTACACGTCCCAGAGTGTATCGTCACAATACGTACACTTCCAAGTGTGTATCACTTTCCAACGTACACATCCGAGAGTGGATCACCATACGTACACGTCCCAGAGTGTATCATGATACGTAAACGTCCCAGAGTGTATCATCACCATATGTACATGTCCAAGAGTAAATCGTCACAATACGTACATGTCCATGAGTGTATCGTCCCCATACGTACACGTACCAGAGTGTATCATCGCCATACGTACATGTCCCATAGTTTTCCGCCACAATACGTACATGTCCCAGAGTATATCGTCAAAATACGTACACGTCCCAGAGTGTTTCGTCACCATACGTACATGTCCAAGAGTGTATCGTCATCATACGTACATGTCCCAGAGCGTACCGTCACCATACGTACATGTCCCAGAGTGTATCGTCACCATACGTACATGTCCCAGGGTGTATCGTCACCATACGTACACGTCCCGCAGTATATCACCATACGTACACGTCCTACAGTGTATCACCACCATACGTACATGTCCTAGAGAGTATCCTCTTGTTACGTACACGTCCAAGAGTGTATCCTCACCATACGTACACGTCCAAGAGAGTATCCTCACCACACGTACACGTCCAAGAGTGTATCCTCGACATACGTACACGTCCAAGAGAGTATCCTCACCATACGTACACGTTCTAGAGCGTATCACCATATGTACACGTCCCAGAGTGTTTCACCATACGTACACGTCCTAGATTGTATCGTCACCATACGTACACGTCCTAGAGCGTATAATCTACGTACGTACATGTCACAGAGTGTATCATCATGGTACATACACCTCCCATAGTGTATTACCACACGTACACGTCCTAGTGTGTATCATCACTATACGTACACGTCCAACAGTGTATCATCACCATACGTACACGTCCCATAGTGTATCACCACTATACATACACGTCCCAGAGTGTATCACCATACGTACATGTCCTAGAGTGTATCCTCAACATACGTACTCTTCCTACAGTGTATCACCACCATACGTACACGTCCCTGAGTGTATCCTCGCCATACGGTCATGTCCTAGAGAGTATCCTCGCCATACGTACACCTCTAAGAGAGTATCCTGTTGTTACGTACACATCCAAGAGTGTATCCTCACCATACGTACACGTCCAAGAGAGTACCCCCACCACACGTACACGTCCAAGAGTGTATCCTCGGCATACGTACACGTCCAAGAGTGTATCCTCACCATACGTACACGTTCTAGAGCGTATCACCATATGTACACGTCCCAGAGTGTTTCACCATACGTACACGTCCTTGAGTGTATCGTCACCATACGTACACGTCCTAGAGCGTATAATCACTGTACGTACATGTCCCAGAGTGTATCATCATGGTACATACACGTCCCATAGTGTATCACCATACGTACGCGTCCTAGTGTGTATCATCACCATACGTACACGTCCCAGAGTGTATCATCACCATACGTACACGTCCTAGAGTGCATCGTCACCATACGTACACGCCCAAGAGTGTATCGCCACCATACGTACACGTCCCAGAGTGTATCATTACAATACGTACACGTCCTACAGAGTATCACCACCATACGTCACGTCCTACAGTATATCCTCACCATACGCACACGTCCCAGAGTGTATCACCATACCTACACGTCATACACTGTATCATCACCATACGCACATATCCGAGAGTGTATCACCATACGTACACGTCCCAGAGTGTATGATCACCGTACGTACACGTCCTACAGAGTATCGTCACCATAGGTACACGACCAATAGTGTATCACCATACGTACACGTCCCA